ATGGCAGAGGTAATTGGAGGAAAAACTTTTTTACTTTGGGAAGTAAAATTTGAAAGGTGGTCTGCTGTGGTATTGGTATCTCCTCCCTGTCAATGGGGACTAATTGTATTTAGGACACTGACTGAACACTGGTGTCAGCATTGCTGAAACGGGGGAGTGTGTTTTATCAGCACAGTATCTACTGGGGCCAAGGTTTCAAAATCAAAACTGGCCTTTTGAAGACCTGTAAACCTGCAGGGTTCTGTTGTGCTTTCACCAGCACAGCTGGCAGGCAGGGGTGTCACTGCGGGGTGGAGGTGGGAGGCTGAGGCTGTGGGGCACGATGGGGCAAGCATCAAAAAAGTGCTACAGAACAGTGATAGGAGAGAGGGCTTAGAAGGATTATTTTCTTGCAAGTAATGCGCTTTGTTGAATAATGTTGATGGATTTGAAGAAAGCTGTTCATTGCGACAGCGGCAGCCTACTGCTGCTGCTGCATCTCCGTGAGGTTGTTGAACTCAGGAGATGGACACTGCGCTGTGCTGCCAGGTGTCGCACCAAATAGTGCCTGCAAACGTTTTGCAATATAATCAGATGTATTAAGGTGAAGTGGAAAGAAATAACAAAACTGCTCTGCTTTTAAAATAATAAATCAGATATTTGGGTACTGGGCTTATATCAAATTATATCTAGTGTGTATATATATATATTGGAGTTTGTGTTGAATCTCTCCTGAACTTTAATAATATTAATCTAATAATCTTACAGGAATACCTAGTCCAAAAATTCATTGAAAAAATTGCAGCTAGTCTCAGCGTGCAAAAATGAGTATATTTTTCCAGGATCAAGGCCTCATCTTCTTCTTTACAATTACAATTTAGAGGCATATTGTATATGCTCAGATTAATAATGCTCTAGCATAGAGCAGACCATAGGGAAAATTAGATCGCTCAATCAAGCCTTCAGTTCCTAAAGGCAAATGCTCCTATCTGGACATATTTATCATAGGGTCATGATAATAAGAGATCTGAAATGCTTTGGGATAATTTAGGTAACTCTGAGTAATTTTTTTTTTTACGAAGTTCCTTGTTTTGAAACAGGCAAAAAGATTTATGTGACACTATTGCTAAATAACATAAAAAAATTTATGTATGTACAAATATAGTAACACATTTTATATATAAAAATATATAGCACTTGGATCCTTGTATATAATTACGGGAGATTTTTCAACAATGAAGAGTAAAAATAGAAATTAAAAGCTGAAACACCTACCTCACCTTCAGGACTGAGAAAAAGTATTTCTGCATCATTATGTCAAATTGATCTCTCTAAAATCTAGTGAAGACTGTTCCAGTTTTACCCACATAGGACAATTACGTAAATGAGCATTGCATGACTGTAGGAACATAACAGGAAACGTCTGGAGAGCAGCAAGTCATTAAAGAAGAGGTGAATAAGTGCAGTTTGACCCAATGGGTCATTTCAAGAAATGAGGTGAAGTAGTTTCACCTTGAACCTTTGTAGCATCTTTTCTCCTGTTTCTTGTAAACGCAGAGACTAAATTAAAACTGTTGAAGTGTACGTATACCTTTAGAGATTTCTTTAGAGACTGTTGAAATCCTCTTACTGTTAAGAGAGACACAGTATTTTATTTCTTCCAGAACCTTTTGCAAATGATCTTCACTGCCAGTTTCCCCTGTCAAAAATAATTAAAACACAGCAGAAATGAAATACCCTCTGTAGCACTCCACTCCCCCTTTTTTTTTTTTAGGGTGAGGGGTAAGGTTCACTCTTGGCACTTCAGTGCTTGCTGATTAAATAGGGATGCTCTGAGAAATCTTTGTTTGCTAATTACAGGCACCAGAGATCATTGATGGAGAGCCCTAAATCATTAAAGGTTGAGAAAAGCAACAGCAGCGTTAGATGCTCGCCGTCGTGTCAGTGTGTGCATGTGCCTGCACACGTGCATCTGTGCGTGGGGGATCCAACATGCTCTGGAGGTGGTCGGCTCCCTGAGCTGGGACATCTCTGCCACCTAAGGAGCTGATCCAGCTCACCTCTCTGTTCTGTCCTAACTCTGTCATATTTGCAGCTTGTGCAATTACCCCAGCCTCAAGTTGGGTGGGGAAAAGCAAAGGCAGGTAACGTGTATTTTTCAGGCAGACTAACCTCTTCTCATTAGACCCTCCCAAGCAGAAAACCCTTTCTCTGTGGAGGAGTGTCACAACAGGTGTAAAATTGCAATGCAAATTATTTTATTTATATATTTATTATTTCCTTATCAGCACGAACTTGTTTTGTTGCATACCAAGACCTGCAAAACAATAAATATTAGTTTTTCTTAAATTACCCTCCTTTCTGCGTATTGTACGGAGAACAGGGATGTGGAGCTGATTTAAAGAGAGAAGTGGATTTTCCATCCCAAATGATGAAAAATGTGCTCTCCCCCAAAACC